GCCTCTCCCGTCGCGGAGCACAGGCTCCGGACGCGCAGGCTCAGTGGCCACGGCTCACAGGCCCAGCCGCTCCACAGCATGTGGGACCTTTCTGGACCAGGGCACGAACCCGTGTCCCCTGCATCGGCAGGCGGACTCTTAACCAGTGCACCACCAGGGAAGCCCTGTGGGGTATCTTTTTTGGTGAGTTCCAGTGTCTTCCTGTCAATGATTGTCCAGCAGCTACTTGTGATTCTGGTGCTCTCACAAGAGGGAGTGAGAGCATATCCTTCTACTCCACCATCTTGGTTCAGGCTCGTATTTTCTACTTTAAATGGGTGAATTTCATCCCAGTAAATTTGTTACTATAGAAGACTCAATATTTAAAGAATGTACTAATACTGCAATGTCTGTGTACAAAGCATATCAATTTGAGAGCTCACTCTCCCTTTGTCTCCATCACTATATTCTACAGTACTTAAAAGGACAGTCAATGCTGTGAACTGCTAAAGGAATACCTGACTGAATCATAGTATATAATTTTTATAGCTACCAAGAATAAATTCAGCAATTTCTTTAATCCTTTTTGAAATTTTCATTATTTTAAATATTTTTATTTATTATTTTTATTTTAATTATGTTTATTATGTGCTAAATTTATAAATATATGATTGTTGAAAACTACAAATGATACAGAATGAAAATGAGAAGTCCCCTTCCACCCACCAACCATGCTTCTCCCCAGAAATAACCACAGTAAATACTTTCTGTATATCTTTTTCCAGACTTTTACAGTATGTTTCATTTTCTTTCACATATATGGGATAAAACTTCATATTGTTCCACAAGTTGATTTTTTCATTAACAAATATGTTATACTAGATCTTTCCAAGATCTTTTTATTGTTAAAAGTACTTTTTTTCTATTAAAAAGCAGTAAAGCTGGATTTACATACCGCTTTTGCAAGCCTGACAAAGTCTTTCCTCACCCATTTATATTCTCTTCTAGAATTTTCATATGTTTGCTCCCTGCTCCCAGGAAATTCTTCCATTTATTTAACTCCTTAAAGTAACTTTTTTACTTCATAAAGTAACAACTTTACTGTTAGGGCACATACCAGAAAAACAGAATAAGACCATTTTTTACTAGTTAACTAGACATCTGGCAGCCCTCTTAAAAATATGAACTTCAGAACTGAAAAACACCGTCCTCTTCCCAAATCATACTCTCTCAGTAGCTAGTTCCAAAACAATGTCACTATATCTTCTATAAAAGTCTTTCACCAAGGTTCCTCAGCTTAAAATGCACTACTCAGACTTTCATTCTTTCAATAAAAGGGGTAAAGGGAAGCATTTTACCAAAATAAGAGACAAGCTTGCAAAACAGACCTCCAGTTGGCCTTGTTCATCAGCATATTCGATGGACTGGAAGATGGTGAGGGCATAGCGTTGTCTGGTCTTCAACTGAGCACTATGACCTCGGTACCAGTTCTGGATGACCAACGCGGCTTTTAGTGCTGCAGACCCACAGGATACGAAAGGGAAAGAAAAACAGTTACTGTGGAGCTACGGGGGGAAGGTAAGTGCTTCAGAAAAAATCAGTCCACCTGGATTCCTAGGTTCTAAGAACATAAAAACTACAGACAACGAGACGTTCCTTTATGTTTTTGTACAATGTCCTCAAGTCTCAAATACTCAGGAATAATGATGACTCAGCCATCCAGAGTAGCATTTTTGGAGCCTGAATTTGAATCCCAACTCTGCTGACTACTGTCTTTGTGATTTGGGGTTCAGTTTCCTCGTCTGGCACTATGTGAAGTCTATGTACGCCCTATGAAGTAGCAATTCCATTCTTCATTATACACCCTGAAGCAATTCTCACACAGTCCATAAAGGAGACATACGGCGATACAATGCTTCTTTGTTGGCGGCCGTAGGGAGTTTGACACCAACGCAACCTGGCTGCCCACTGCTAGGAAGGAGATGTGACTGTGGTGGGTGTACACCATGGAATATTATGCCACAACTGGAAGCGATATATAGCAACGTGGATGGGTCTTCAAAATATAGTGCTTCAGTTAGAACAGTTATCAAAAAGTTAGAGACAGAATGGAATGTAACATGATACCATTTTATATAAATTTAAAATACACACACACGAAACCACAATATACGTTTCGTAAGAATATACAGAAAGGAAAAGATACTAAAAATAAGAGATTGGTTATTTGTGGGGGGTGGGTGAATGAATGAGCATAGAGTATATGGTTAAAAGGGAATAAACTAATGAACTAACTACCATAAGAAAGGGCCTTGCGCAGACCAATGATGACAACGTACAACATACTGAGAAGTACGATTCACTCCACCTTCTCCACCTGCGATTCAACTGATAAAAGACAGATGGATAAATGAACACACCTCCCTCCTTCACAGAGTTACTATGAGGATGAAATGAGATACTACAGGTGAAGAGTTTAGTCCAGTGCCCAGGGTAAAGCATTTACTAAATAAATGGCAACTATAGTGACAAGTATTGTGTTGTTTGTGGATTATTCAGGCACACTGACTCTCTTCTGGGGCTGGGAGCCTTTGAATCATCCTATAGCTTCATAGTTTTGAAGAAAGAAATCAGGTGAGAGAGAATGAGATTTAAAATATAGTCTCTTATGCCTTTCTCAACTTTTAGAGTGACGACTAATCAACACCAGCTGGCTCCTTTTATTCATGCTATAATTTTTCCCAGTTAGCACATAAGAATTAAGAGTTAACTCCAACAAGAACAATTTGAGTTCTGAAGCAGCAATCCAGCCTCTCGGCTTAGTACTGCTGTGGTATAACGAGTATACACTATTCATCTGAGGGTGTGTGTTTACGAGCTTCTCCAAGGCTGTTGGGTTCCAGAGACTCTTGTTTCATTATTCAGCTCTCAGAAAACCCCAGGAAATAGGCGTAAGGTCAAGTACTATTACCTTTATAGGGAAAACCACAGGGAGAAGAAATCAAGTGACATTCAATATCACAACGTGAATAATTGGTAGTACCATGTCTTAAATCTCAAGTGTTTTCACCATATCATCATGCGGAGCCCAGGTTCACCTGAAAGGTCTGTTCTGTGGGACAGTCACTGTCATGACCAAGCAAGCCTCAGCTCAGGGGCTCTGTTCACCGAGCACAACGGAACTGCTCCAGGGCTATTTACTGAACACTTACTGAGGGCCAGGCAATGGACTCATCTCTGCAGTCAGTCCTCACCATACTGTGAAGCTGGGAGAGACTAACTTACTTAAGGGCACTTAGCCAGTAAGTTGAAATGGACAGCAAGGAATTGCACCCACCCCTCAACCTCTTAACCTCCATAGAGCTATTGATCTTTTTCTGTGCCTCACTTTCTTTGTCCGCACAATGACGTAGTGGAATAAATGATCACTAAAGTCTCTTCTACTTAGTATTAGCAACACCAAAAAAAAAAAAAAAAATCAAGCTTAGTGTTATTTCTATAATTAACAGTAGAACAAAGTAGCTACCATACGTTAATGGTCTACTACAAGACATTTAGTCCCCACAAGTATTATCATCTCCACGTTACACATAAGGAAACTTCAGGTTCAGAGAGGCTAGCAACTTCTAGTACCCTCAAAGACTTCCTAATTATATATAATATTTCATTAAAAAATTCACAAACTAGTGTGAACAAACAGGTTACCACCTCAGAACCCAAGAGCCAGGAGCAGAAGAGCCATGCCAAGCAGGACGCACAGGGCTCACTTCCTTAGAGTCCACAGTCTTGGCTCAAACGTTGCCTTCTCCGTGAGGCCTTTCCTGAACACCCCTTGTAAAATGGCACCCATCCCCCATTGCCTATCTCCTTCTTTCCCTCCACAGCACTTATCACCATCTGATATAGCATATATTTTACTCATTTGTTACTGTCTCCTTTCACTAGAATGTAATCTCCATAAAGGCTGGGATTTTGGTCCATTGGGTTAGCTGCTGTGTACCCTGAGTCTGGAACAGTCCCTGGAACATAGTAGATGCTTGATAAATATTTGTTGAATGAATGAATGAGTGAAATTACTGTTTAGTTAAAACTTCCTGTCTTGCGTTTCCCTTCATGCTAATTGGTGAATCTTATGTTTGATTTTGTTTTTTAAATAGGAGTTTATTTGACAGTCCTTTAAATAAGAAGTTTTATATTCAAAATGGTAAGGCATTTAAAGACTCTGCTTTTGAAATTCTGCTATCAGAGGCCTCCTGAGGAGGCAACAGGATGAGTGAATATTTAATGTAACTTTAAGGGGCCTGATATCCAAGCAGGAAGAGCGACACAAGTGTGATAGAACTGATTAAAATGAATTCAAATGAACTGGAAAGAGAATGAACCATCTAGTGGCAAAAGGCTTTAGGCAAGGAGGAAAAGCATCTATTACCTCAGCTGTTCAAAGCACGATGAGAATAGGGTATTCCTCAACGCTGGGACCACAGTTTTCACTGTTACTTTTGTTTACAGATATCTGCCATCTGCTAGAGTATGTTTCTGTCCCAGCGAGACTTTCAACTTCACTGGAAAAACAGCTCACAGCACATGCCCAGCAGACATGAGATGGTCACAAAGCCTGCTTCTTGAGCAGCAAGGCAGGGACCCTCTGAGGCTCGCTCCTCCAGAAACTCTGACATCCCTGCAGAGCAAGGACACAACATAGGATCCTTGTCCCTGGAAAGCATTTTTCTTAAACAAGAGGGAAACGAGAGGAAAGCATGAGGTCCAGCCTCCAAAACAATGACAGATATTTTAAACAAAACTATCACTTTCCCAAATGACAAGGGATCATAGTTTTATCATTCTTGGAAACATATGGCCTTCCAGTCAGAGAAGGGCAAGAAATAGAGGTCATTACTTTGACTTTTTATTTACCCACATACTCGCCCACCCACCAACCCATCCACATGGGATAATAAAAATAAGTTCTGAATTTGTAATCTGGAGATTTCCGTTTTGGTCCTAACTCAACCAGGTGCCAACTGTGTAACCTCAGGCAAATCGCTTAACCTCTCTGGTCCTCGGTTTCTCACGTGAACAATGATAACTTGGGATTATGTGACCTCTAAGATTCTTTCCAATTATAAAATACTCTAATTCATCCCTCTATTTTTTTAATGCCCCAGCTGCAGCCTACCTAGCCTGTAGCAAAGCTGAAAATAACCATTAAAGGACAAAATAGGACGTGTAAATATGAACACTCAAATCAGAAGCTTCTGGATACAAAAGACAAATTCTAAAGGCTACTCAAAAAAAAAAAAATCTGAATTATCTTTGTAGAAAAAATCCAAGTCAATTCACTAATATCCTTGGCTTTCCCATCAAGGAACCGTAGCCAAAGTTTGCTAGCAATTGGTCTAGGAAAAAACATTTCACCTATTACTTCTCCTTTAAATGGCCTAAAACATGATTACTGTGTATATTCTGTTAACTGGTACAAGTGATAGCCAATAGAAGATGGGGAGAAACGGATGGGGAAGGAAGTGAAGACAAGAGGGGGTGGGGATACAGAGACACATGGGAAGGGTAAAGTCCAGAGGTTTCAATGAAAATTGAGAGATCAGAGAATGGGATAATGATCATAAAGATCACAGAGGTGGAGCTGATCCGGGTGGCCACAGGGGTCAGGAAATGGGAATGAGCTGCTGAAGTGGAGCAGGTGAATGATTGCTCTAAAACAATCATTATCGTGAAAATACAAATTTTTAGAAATTATTATTGTATAAGAAATTTAGCTATGTAAAAGATTTACTATCATTTTAAATCATTAAAATATTTTCTTGGGCTTCCCTGGTGGCGCAGTGGTTGGGAGTCCGCCTGCCGATGCAGGGGATACGGGTTCGTGCCCCGGTCTGGGAAGATCCCACATGCCGCAGAGCGGCTGGGCCCGTGAGCCATGGCTGCTGAGCCTGCGCATCTGGAGCCTGTGCTCCGCCACGGGAGAGGCCACAACAGTGAGAGGCCCGCGTACCGCAAAAAAAAAATATATATATATATATTTTTTTTTTTTCTTGTAGGAAGTATGTTCTATTCAACAATTCAATAACGACCTTTAATCCTCACTCAGAAAAAAAAATTAAATATCTTGACTACAATTCTGTTTTATGTCTCCCTTGTTATTAATTACTAATCTGAGTTATACTGCCACATTCATTCACCCAAGATCAAATATAATGAGCATTAAATTTTTGTCTTTTGCAGCTACTAAAAAGATAATGCAGTATAAAGCCATAATCATATAGAAAAGTGTTCTGATTATGGGAAATACAGGCATACCTTGGAGATATTTCAGGTTAGGTTTCAGACCACCACAACAAAATGAATAATGCAATAAAGAGTCACATGAATTTTTTTGTTTCCCAGTGCATATAAAAGCTATGTTTATACTATATTGTAGCCTACTAAGTGTGCAATAGCGTTATGTCTAAAAAATGTACATACCTTAATTAAAAAATACTTCATTGCTAAAAAAATGTC